CCCTCTGTCTGCCCCTAAACAGCATTTCAATCTGTAGATTAATCCTACCTTGCGATGATGGGAAACTTGCTGAAGCAGCAGCTGAACTAAAATCAGCAAATCCTCCAAATGGGTCAGTTGATCCACCTAGAAACAGAAGGAAGCCAACTGCTGTTACAGGATTGTGCAAAGATTCATTGCAACAACTGCATGCAGGATTTATGAATAAAAGCTGTTCTGTATGTGGCAAGATGGATTTATTGATTCTGCTCCCTAAAGTTGGCACTGTGTTAGCTGTTCACTACCATCCTGTATTTATACAAGCCTGAACAACAATAAACTGGATTATTTCCAAGTGCCTTGCAGAGCTTGCAATTTTGTTTTCCTAGGGAAGAACTAAAAGACACAAGTTTCTGCTATCTCTAAAAATAAATTTAAAGAGATTAAAAAGGTTAACAAGGTTTTAACTAGTGAGGGATGCTACTAGTTTGGTGGTTTGTAAAATTAAAACTTTGGAAGTCTTATATATAAAAGCCAAACATTCTTATTGTAAAAAAGTTAATTTATTATGCTTACTGTGAAAAATTACATGTTGCCTTTATTTAGTTTTTGTGTTACTTAAAGCATGAATGATTCTGCAATGATCTTGAATTGGGATTTCAAGGACAGAGCTTGCATTTGTGTTCATTTTTTAATAAGTTTGCTTCCTTTCTACAGCAGGAACATTAAGTTTCCCAACCAGACGTTTGTATACAGCACATAAATTATTAACTTCTGAATACAGCATAGTAACAATTTTTCACAAAAAAAACCCCCAGCCAAGACATAAAAACAGAAGAAAGATTTAAGAACCACACTGGAAAGCTGCTTTGCTTTTTTTTTTTTTTTTTAAAAAAAACAGTTTTAAAAAAAGCCATCAAATTAGCCTTGCTATTGCTTTTAAGTAGGTATTCCACTGACCTGAGAAAGCTAAGAAGTTGACCTTACTTGTTTGTCCTCAAAGATTTCACCTCCAAGCAGTCCCACCCTTAGAGGAAGCTGCAGCAGCTGAATTATTTTGCTTTTAGCATTATGCGTACATTATATAGGTTACATCACAGCTGCTTAGCCTGCAGTGCTTAGAAACTAGCCAGGTGGGACTGGAACATCTGTGCTGCACTCAAACACCACCAGGGACAGCTTCCAACATCTGGTGCCATTTCTGAATTGTCTTATCGCTGCAAGACATTCTGCCCCATCTGCTACTCTCAACTGGGTTAATTAAACTAGAACCATCTCCTTTTTAATAAATGGCTAGCAGTAATAAAAGGAACCATTCACTTCCTAATACATGTGTACTTGTATTTCTTTTTAATGTTATTTTACTGTAGACATTGCCAGGAAGGCGACTGTTCTTCCAAGGGGAAATGTCTTTTCTTGCTGAGTGTGTAGCATATGATATAAAACATGAGAAGGGAACGCAAGGAAGGTCTCTTTGAATTTTCAGAAATACAGCACAACTGAAATCCTTTTACCACCTTTTCAAGAGAAGATTTCACACAGAGTTAAGAAATTTCTTCAACACAAATTCTGAAGTGATCTAATAAGCATCTTACATATGTTTATATACAAGTTTTATACTGACTGCAACCTGAGAATGAAAAAGGGGGTGAGATGACCCAGTGAAATATCAAGCTAAAAAACTGTTCTGATCATGTTTACTCTGCCTACTGCAATGAACATTTTCAAATCGTTTTTTTCATCGCATGTGTCCTTACAGAGTTCAGAACAGGTTAATGGTTTGAGGGTTTCTATCAGAATGAGCACCACAGATGACACTCTCAACCACATCCTCAAAAAAAAAAAAAAATCAATGCGCTCATGCTACACCTATTATCCCTAGGCTGTTTGACAAAGTATCTAGGGATTAATTTAATTTTAAAAACAGAACTAGGTTCAAACCCAAAATAACCTCTGAACATTTTCAGTCAAGTCAACTTTTCCTCCACCTCTATTGCCTGTTTTCAAATGAAATGGTTCCAGAGAGATAGCAGAGCTTAAGCTGAATGCAGTAACTCTCTAAAGAAAGGTATCACCAGCTAAGATTAAAGAACCTCATCTCCAGTAACACCAAAAAATTACTTACAGCAGGTCTAACCACAGATTCTACATCTTCTCAAACAGATTGCTCCTTTATGGCAACCAACTGTCCCCCTCACATACAAATTGTGTTGCTTTAGTAATGTGTAACCCCCCCAAGCCTCACCAACCTTCTTCCACATCTCTGCACCTGAAAATACATAGATAAGCAAATTCTGAGTTCCTTGAATTCACATGACTTCCCTCCCAGTTCCTTCACAGGACAGATCAAAGGCTGCATTTGACCCTTTCCCTGTGTCTTGTCTGACACTGGGAATGTTCCCACACCCTGTGCTGCAAGGAACAGTGGTCATAACAAGTGACCTGCATGTGAAGGACAGTGCTAATCTTCTCAACATGAGCTATCCTCAAAGATTCCCATGCGAGATCTGTCACTACAAATGAACCCTTTCCATCTGCCTTCCCAGGTCAGCAAAAAGGCTATTTAGCAGGACCAGCTGGTAATACGCCTCTTCTCAACACCATTTCTAAATGCTGCTTTAGAAAAAGAAGAAAAAAGGCAGAAGTAAAAAAGGCTTACTACAGCAGAGAACCAAACTGATGAAATATTCAAATACACTGTAATATGGGAGCTGCCATCATTCTGTTTGAAATATGGGAAGGCTCAGTTTGAAGTGGAAACATCTATTCTCAATGTGATTTTATTTTTATACATAGAAATAAAAACACACACATATGTATATAAATAAAACCAAAAAAGGCTCTAATCTCTTTTCCCATAAGTATTGGATAGGAGAAGTTTCAGTACTGATCTGGGGTAGTCGTTCTGATCCAGGATCTTAAAATACCACGGAACTGTGGTAACTCCAATGCACAATGAACACATCTGTATATGAAGTTAATAAAATAGACAATAATGGAAATTAAGTCATTCCTTAAATTTGGGGGCATTTGTGCATAAAGGAACAGATGCATGAAATGAATTTTATTTCTTAACCATTAGGAATTAACATATATTTCAGAACAGACATACAAACTTTATCCACTTCCCCAAAAATAAAAGTGCACAAAGTTTTAAAGATCTACCAGAAATAAGAAAGAAAAGATTGACACAGATCTCTGATACTATATTACCATGACAATTTCCCTTCCCTCCAATAGAGTTTTGATGTATTCTATATTCTATTAAATACTTATAAAGGTAGCATTTTGGTAGCCTAGTGATGAAAGGAACTGTGTTGCATAGCGTGCTCATAGTACTGGCTTTGCTCATATGTTATAATAAAAATACCTAGTGTCACATATTACAGGGGTTCCTGCTACAATATACCCAGAAGTGGCACAGCTTCAGAAAGAAGTAAGAGTAGTCTTTACATATGCATGAATGTAGCCACCTTGCCACACATGTGGGCCTTCAGTCACTCTGGACAGCCATGTTTTGGTACAGTCTCATGTGATTTTTACATCGTCTTTAAAACAAAGGCTGGAGCTAAGTATCTGTCATCCCCAAGATAGACACATACACTTCTACCAACAATGTGAATATGACCCCATATATACTAAGAGAAGTTGCTTATTTGGAATGGAGAGAAGTTACATGAAAGGTTTCTACCTATGAAAAGGCACATGCTCGTATTTTATTTGCTATTCAAAGTGATCTTTAAACAAAAATTCTGCCCACAGTTAACTCTCCCAGCTGGGCCATTAGACCACAAGTGCATGGAAGTCCTTTTTCTGTTCCATGCTAGCCACAATCAGAACTGTTGATATTAAGAACCTGTAAAAGCACAATAACAAGTCTTCAAAGTTTTAGGTTTTGAAAAGCAAACCACCAAACCCCTGAGCTCCTCTATCAGTCCTGTATGCAATACACTGAAATTTAACACACTCCTAAAAAGAAACTGCATTTTGAGAGCATAAGGGTAAGTCCATATGAAGGTTAATGGATTTAAAATTCAACTGCACGTTTAGAGACCGAACAGAGGTATTTTACAATGAGTAATTTTACTTTTAGGTAGCAATTTGTTTTTGGTATTAGGGTTGGGATCAACCAAGTGCCAAGACAAAAGAAGATAAAGAAACAAGTTTACTTTAGATGAAAGCTTCTATGAAGATCACCCACCTCCAGCTGCCTAGCCTTTGAACGGCACTATGAGAAATGCTTGAATGTGAATGGATTGCACTTGCTTTTAGAGTTAATTATAAATAACTGCATTACAAAAACAGTTTCTGACAGACTGATCTGGCAGTTAATCTTTGTGCTGCTAACATTTATTAGTCCCATGCAATAGCATATACAGTACCTTGCTACAAAAGGTTTAGGCAGCTCTAAATTTTTTGGGTATTCATTTCTCAATTTGTCTACTACTCTATCTATATAACAACAAAGAAGCTTATCCTCAGAAATGGTTCAAAATATGCATTAAGAAAACAAAACCAAAATGTGCCTACCAGTTGAGACTGGCTGGCTAGCTCCATCAAACAACAGATCAACCAGGTCATTAGACGACTTGCTGCCAGAGGGTACAGAAGCCTGAAGAAGAAATCACACAAAGATCTCATCTCATGATGTCATCACTCATCTTAAAGGACATTGAGAAGTTCTCTGAGTTTTTTGGATGCTTTGTTTTGTTTTGGAGAGATGGCAGATTTGTCTTTGAAGCCAACAATCCCTGGAACCTGGCTAAATTTCAAACCAAATATGAACAGCCAGTGGCTCAGGTTTTTTTCTGATAACTGAAGAACTTGATAACTTCTCAGTAAGTGTGCAGGTTCAGAGAATCCTTCACACTTCAGGACAAGATTTTATCTTTGCTTTCCTGAAGAGAGTAAAACATGGTAATGACTACATTCTACATCTTAAAGGATTCACACAAAAAGGCATTCTGCAATTAAACTGTTCCATTGCCTTTGAAAAGACCAGTTAAACATTTTTGATAAAATAGTTCCCTTGAAGGCTGCATAACACATATTCTACCCTAAACTACAAATTGGCTCAGATGTTAGAAGAAAGCTGTTTCCAAAGTCATGTTTTACTGTGCTCTGCTGTCTCACCTTTGCCGTCGGCTGTCCGGGAGCGGCAACGTTCTGTTCTGGACTTGCTTTATCCCCTGTATAATGTGCTGCTGCTCCCAAGTCAATGGTTTTTGAAGGATTTGCTGTGCGTTTGTGTCTGGTGGTGGTAGTTTCTGTAGCTTGTGTAATATGAATGTGTTTTGTTGTCACAGTCTCCTCTTCATCTTTAAATTCAGCTTTGGGAGATTTACCTCTTCTTGATTTTTCCTCATCACTGTCACTAGAAAAACAAAAGCAACAGAATACCATTCGTGATGGACTTCTCAGTTACTTAAGTGGACATTTGGCTTAAGCCACAAGTTTTGGTTACTGTAGTTCCTTATAGCGATGCTTCATAATGAAAATACTGCTTCTTCCTACATTTGAGAACGGAAGTGTTTTACCCTTACATAATGCATCTACATAACACAGCATTGCACCTATTGTACAAAAGTGATGAAGAAAAGCAAGTTTTGTTAAACATTAACTGCAAGTCCATGGCAGAGGATAATAGGAAATCAGTGTTTAAATCCAGTACATTTAATTACCTTCTGACAGGAACTCCCCCACACATTATGTAATACTTCAGCAACAAAAAAAGTTAAGTTGGCAGGTCTGCTCAGTACTTACACCAAGAGACAGAAAGCAGTGAACCAAATACAGGTACTGTCTTTCAGATTTCAAGAATTCCATTCTTATTTCAACTCACTTCCCTTTCCAGAGAAACAGGCTTTTATATTCCTTAATGTTTGCAGAAAAATGATGTTTACATAATTATGCAATGCAATGATACTATTAATTTTCTATCAGAGAGCTCATTTATTCTTAAAATATAAAAGAAGGAAAGCATCACCATTTTAGGCAAAAACTTTAGATGTCACTGTGTAATATTTGCTTAATCTGTTACATTTTCTACTTTTATATTTTAAATTTTTCACAAACAAACCAATTGCCCACCCACCAGTCATGTTGCCTGTTATCATCAAGATAAGATTTGTACGTAACAGTGAAAACTGCTGTAGAGAAGGCTTAAATATATTGAAACTTACTTTGAAATAGCAATTCCCTTCGCAACATAGCTGAAAGTGGAAGGTTTTTGTATTTTAATAATGCATTAGAATACTAAAACTGCAAAATTTAAGAAAGGCTGCCCCTTTGTCAGTGGGAATATGACAGTAACTGCAATATACTCTGGAGGGTAGCCTTTGTTTTCTGTTAACAATAGTGGGCTTTTTGGAATACTTTGCATGTGTCATTTCCTCTATGCGTATTACCTACTCACCACTGGGGATGGCTCAATTCATTAACATCAGTGAATATAAATGCTCACTCCCCTTTTTAATTTTTTATTTTTAAAAGAAAAATATCATAGCTGCTGGCCAACCTAACTACTTGCATTTGCTTAGCCAGCCTTACACAGACAAGAGAGTTCAAATTACGTCACCTAACCTTATCCTTCCAAGGCAGTTCAACCCTGACTTGCAACAAAAGGGTTGTTCCAGTTCTGGATTTCTGCAGATAGCCTACCTACATGCACAAATACATCAGAGGGGACCACTAACCACATTTTTATTTGTGACATCAGAATTTTAATACAAGCCCCCAGAGAAGACCGATCTGCACATTAGCATGGTACATCCATCCTAAAAGCCTCGGAGGAGTGTGGATGATGTTGCCTTTTAGAGGCATGTTGAAAGTATCTAAGACCAGAATAATCACAACTAAGGCTCAGTCTCTTGAAACCTGCTGCAGTGTACTTCTTGTTATCACTACAGAGTCCACCTAGGCCATATACACATTCTGTGGGTTGAGGAAGCGATTGACAACCATCCAAGTCTGATCAATGGAGCTATTGCTACAGAACTGGTAGAGATTAATCTCACTAATGGAAAAATGAAAGAAAGTGAGTCTTTGGTGATCTACAGCAAAATAAACGTCTAAAAGCTTTTGAGAAAAGAAATGAAACATATATGCCAGAAAGTAGGACAAATATTACAATACTCAATTTTCTATGACAACCTGTAATGCTTCCAAACTGTCTCAGGAGATCTGTTTTTTATTTTTCTTTAATGGTCACATTAACAAAAAAGAAGAAGAAACATTACAGATTAATGATCCCTCTAAGTGTGTTTACTGTGCTCAGAATAGAAAAATTGCAGTGCATCTGAGAGTTGCAGAACAAACTTAAAAATAAAAATTATAGTTAGCATTGTACCAAATAATTAAAAAAAACTTCTGCAAAGGAAGTAGATGGTTGCAACTTCCAGAAACCAAAGCAGGGATACACATTCTTTTTCTTCACCTTGAGGTTTTTGTAGTATGGGTTTTCTTGAACAGCAGTCTTTAAAGCAATAAAATAGTTTACTGATAGTTTGAGACTATCTGAATTATACCCTACTACAAAAGTAATCCTTTACATGGAAGTTGCCTTTAAACACGACTGTTGCATCTTTTTATAGCAGTACTAAAAGTTTTGCTTCCTTCCCATTGTTACCTGCATCAACCTTTCTGAATACTGGAGAAACAAGGATTGAGAGAGTTTAAGAATTCTTATGAAAAAAGTGTAACGTTTCAGAACAACCTCTGTATATCTGCAGGTAATTCAGAAAATAAAACTTCAGCATACAAGGCTAGATGCAGGGCAGCAATTGGTTTATTCACCTAAGACCTAAGAACTAACAACTAACTATGAAAGAAAACCAGAGGTTTTCCCACCCCATGGGGTATTGTTTCTGATCTTCTCTACTTCCAAGGGGATATATTACTGGAAAAAATAATCCAATTCCCCCCCCCCCCCCCCCGTACTAACATTTTTCTTCTGAAGAAAAAAAAAAGCAGACTAGGCTTCTCCAGAGTTAGCTGTGTGAACTGCAGTTTCACTGAAATCTACAGTAAACTCAAGCCAGCTATATCACAATTTAAGTTCTTAGTTACTTCAAGCATTTTTTTTTCTTCTATGCAAACTACAAGCTTTGCAAGTAGAGTCAGAAATCCAGAAGTTTGGCCAAGATCTTCTGGTGTGTATATTGGAGGTAAAGATTGTGTCATCCAAATTCCATTAACCACTGTGAAGATGTGTGAAGCACAAAGAATACATGTGACTTAAGACCTTTATTGGCTTTACAGTACTAAAGTAATAATGATTTATAAAGCTATTAAAACAGCAACAATAGAACACACAACAGCAGAATTGGCAGCTGAGCAAGTATCACCATTTAGTCACTTTTCCAAGGGAAATGGCAACTTAATTCAATGTTATTATATAGCAGCAGGCTAGAAATAAACTAGCAAATTTTTGGAGGCTTCTTTTTTGTTTTTAGAAAAAAATTTGCTGAAGCGTGAAAACACAGAAATGCATGGATTTCATGAAGCATTTACAAGAAAATGTTATGTTTTTGTGAGCTTAAGTCACACAATAATTAAAATTTCATGTTTCTATTCAGTTTCAATATTTAACTTCATACAGAATATAGTATTCTGTTAATATAACATGAATTTATAAGGTTTGTATTTACAGTATCTTGAAGTATAAATAGAAAGACATTCTATAACCTTAAGTTCAATCTTCTTAGATCCCTTGATGCCTTCTGTAGAAAGAAATCCCTTCATTTCAACACTGATAAAATACCTTCCAAAAGGAAATTTCAGGTCGGTAGCTGAAGTAATATTACAGAAGCCATACTGCTGCAATCTGGATTCCTTCTTATGGCAGGACAACCAGCAACTACCAAATTGTTTTTGCTCATGTATGTCTGAAAAAATCTTCCTTCTATTTCAAGTCCTGAGTTTATTACTTTCATAAATTTCAAGACAAATACTGCACCTGGCATTTACCAAAAATGGAAGAAAAATAAAAAAGGGACAAGGGTTACAAGACCAAAACAGAAAATGAAAAATTGAGTATTAGCCAGATGAAAAGATCAGTGTAACTTGGGGTAGAGATGTACAGTGGAGAATTCCTCAAAATAAGCTGCTGCTTATAAAGATTAGACTGCAGAAAGGACTGTCTAAAACACTGGAAGGTGCAAGACTTTGTATCAGCACAAGTAAGAGACCAGGAGCCATTCAGAAATAAAGCGAAATGAAAAAAGAAAAAAATGTTTACTGTACATCCTCTACATGAAGTGTGGATAGTGAGCTTTACAGACGTCATGTGACGAGTTGCTTTTGAAAGGTAAGGACAGAAAAGCACACAGCAATATACCATTGTTAAATTTGAAATTGTTTACTTTTCTTCTAATCCCTTCTCTTTGTAGTCTATTGATAGTAAGTTCTAAGAGGGAACCCTGATGTGTGCAAAGAATACCAGTTTTATGATTTATTAATGCCTTAGCAAGAGGACCATACTACCTTTTTCTCAGAAATTCTACCATTATAATTATTTGTTTCCATGCAAAATTTCTTGGATTTTGTAATATATACAAGTGTATGCATGTGCATTTTCATAGACACATATGTAAAAATGTGTGTGCAAATGTATCTGAAGATATTCTTGTAACAAATATTAATCAAATCTCAGTGCAAATTTGAATTTTAAGTTGTTTCCCAAAATGGAATTATTTCAATATACTTGAGCACATTCTTCTACAGCAATTTCAGATTCTGTTAAGTACAAATTTGATCTTCAGATGAAAAATTCAATGCCCCTGTTGAAGTGTGATGCATTTAAAGTTCTTTCTGCAGACAAAGCAGGGTAGGTTTTCTTCATCACTGGAAAAATTTAATAGTCAGATGTAAAATACAAGTTTCTTGAGAAGGTTCAACTGAAATTGATTTTTAAAAAAAAAAAAAAAAAAACAACAGTGAAATAAGTCACCTGCAGCCTCTTCTTCCTGAGATCAGCTCAGGGAAGAAGTACTGTATCAAGGCAGGTCTAAGCAATTTTACATCTCCCTCTTCTTTGGTACTTCAGCATTCAGAGCAACTGTAGCATTAAATGGCAGCCTCCAGTACACTGGTGCAAGGAAGACCACTGAATTGCTGAGACAAGGAAAAGCTTAGGAGATTTCAGCCGAATTCCCTGCTTTGCTAGCAGCTAAGCTAGGGGTAGTAATGGAAGGCAGCCAAAAGCAGTTAATTATTGACAGAGCTACATTATTCCCCAAGGCCAGTAAGAGCTGCATAAGAAGTCCAGGAAGCAGGTATTGAACCCAACCGTGCTTCCATACAGACAAAAAGAATGTCAGACTATTGTAACTAATAACCAGCAATGTCAAAAAGCTTTATAATAGCAATTTCACAGAATAAATTCATGTTAAAATTACTCTAGTACCTGCACCTTTCTGGAGAGTCTTCTCTATCTTTCCTTCGGAACTTGCTGATGGTATCGTCAATCGTGCTTCCAATTTTGTCGCTTAGCTCACCTAACTTATCGCTGAATGGAAAAGCTGGTTTTTTATCCCATTCTTCATCCCATTTTGACTTGGGCTCAGGATCGTATCTTTCACCTGTGTAAGGCATTAAGATAAGAAATACTAAAGATAACAGAAAAAAAAAAATGCCTGTGGTCTTTTTGGAATCACTCTCAAGTCCCCCTGCCCTACATGCATAAACATTACAAGTTTAGAAGCAAACTGAAAGCTCCCACAGTGCTGAATCAACACTATTACAGCAAGGCACAGCATGTAATGCCAATCATTAAGTGGCAGTAATGCAGATTCAAAGACTTTTGTTTATGACAATGACAAAATCTTAATGCGCTGCACAGCACAGCACATCAGGACACTGTTGGACTCTGCTGGAGAAGCACAAGAGGTACAATCAACCCTGGCTGCGTAAGCAGCTTATCAGAAATGGGATGTGCCAGTTTTGTAACAGTCACTTAACGTATGACATTCCATTCTTGGCCAAGCTGTGTTCTCAGAGGTAAATCAATGGGGTTTTTATACATTGACATTCATGAACGCGTAAAAGCATAGTACCAAAATACTGAAAGACGTAAGTGTGCAATGCATGGTAACTTTGTTCTTTCTTTTCCACACTTGGTGATTAAAAAACTTTTTAAAGAGATGAAAAAAGAAGAGGCAGTAAAGCAACTCACCTTTTCAGCAGCCACTGAGTACCTGAATATCTTTGCTAAACACTTATCAAGAAATCAAAACCACTTTTTTCCTAATCAAGTATTCAAGACCTCCATACTGGTATCTTAGCTTACAAACAGCTGACAGTTTTACTTGAAAGAAGTACATTTGCTGTACGATCTCATTAAGAAAGTTTAAAAAACTTAAGCCTGGGTTTATTTATACACACCCGGCCAATCTGAGTTTAATTTAAAAAAACCCCCACACTTATATTTTAACAAAGACTTAACTATCAGAAGCACAGCACACTTTACTAACTTGTGTTGTGATCTTATATCAGACCTTCTGCCGAAAATATAGGTATATAAAACAACAACCCAATGTAGCTCAGTTTCTAGATAACACTTAGACAAACATTTTATATTATGGGCCATTACACACATGAAACAAGGCATTTTTTTGTACTATTGAAAAATATGAAACACTAGTTAAATTTTTTTTATTAAAACTGAGTAAAATTGAGTAGCAGAAAGGAAGAACAGTGAAAGATTCATTACTTCAAGTACATACAAATTATATAGTAGCTCAGGTAATGTTCAAGACTTATTCAATTAAGCTATTTTTAATAAAAAGAAAATGATGTATTCCAGCACTACAAGGTACAAAATTTGAGTTATATCTGTCCCATAATATCATACACCAGAGATGTATTTTCTTACTGAAGAGATAAGTGCAAGTCTCCAATGATATTTGTGTAGATCCACAAAGGACAGACAAAATTTTTTCGAAGTAGAGAACCTGTTACAAATCAGCGAGATACTCGGTGAGATATTTATCATTGAAAAAGAAGAAACTGCTAAGAAATGTACTACTGTTAAATTTTATGTCAGGATCTCAAGCATTTTAAAGTAGATTCCATCAGAAGGTTTCCTTGTGTGACAGGAATTTTAAAATAAATAAAAAACCCCAAGAGCTCGGTATTTTCAGGACAAAAAGAACTAAGGAAAACTCTGAAAATACAAACATTTTATATTTAAATAACTACAATCTTTTAGATTAGAAGTCTGACCTGGGATAAAGTTTGTTTTGTGTTGCTAGAAAGATTTTTTTTTTTTTAAACTTTACTCAACAAATGAGGGGATAATTACAAACTCTTTACCATAAAAATGAAATACAAAACAAAGAAGATAGTCCCTTAAATTAAAAAGCTTAAATTAAAAAGCTTGAATGATAACTTAAGAGCATATGGAGAAAGACTTCTACCTAGCATACAGGAATAGATCACGACTCTGTACAGAGCAAGTCAAAAGATAAGCTTAGTGAAAGAACAGAGGGACACGTACTTGAAGCACAAATGCAGTGACTCATAAGTATTTCCTAAAAAGAGAATCACCAGAATTCCAAGCAGGTAGCAAAAGCCTAAAAGAATATAATAAAACAAGACATATCCTGCCATGGAGATAGAGATTTTCAACTACTCTGTGTATGAGGAAAAGGGAGAACAGAGGAACACAGCGAACCAACCTGTCAAAAACAGAAGAGAGCAAATCTAAGTTTAAGGCTCACAGTGAAGAAGAGTAAAAAACATACATAGCACCAGAGAGGGACAGGTGAAGTTAAAGTCCTGCACAGTTACTATTCAGATCTTATACCAAACCCTTCTCTCAAAGAAGTCACTGACGCTAGCAAACCAGAGCCTTGTGCCATTGTGACTTGGGGACTCATTCCTTAATAAAAGCAGCCAAGGATTTACTCAGGCCAAAGAAGACACAGATAAACATCAAGACTAACAGCTGGATCATGGACAACATGCTGGGATACCTCAGACAAAAAAGCCAGTTCAAGCTCAGATCCCTGCTATGCATTATGGCAGGGACTGAGGAGCAAGGAAGAAGCTGCACACTTGGACTTGAGAAGCAAAACACAGTACTGGTTGTGTGCCTTTGTCTAACCAAGGCTGTCAGAGAAAACCGCGTCCTCTCTACACAAAGACAAGCTGATGGCATTACATCTTCTAAGACCAAAATCTTACGAACACACTACACGGAAGATGCAAATAGTCTGGGAGAACTCACTGCACACAGGAAGAACATTGGTCGCCTCAGCAAAATGGGTGAATTTATTTCCAGAAGCAAGGGTACATCAGACGACCTGTCAATAGCATTCAGATTTTTTTTCCCTTTGTGTTTGTTTTGTGTGTGTATGTTTTTAAATAAAGGATGAAGGTCCTATTGCAAGCACCAGACCCAAGCTGGATATAGGACTGGCACCCTGTGCAACAATGGATGAGATTTGTGATGGCTGGATGCTTTAATTCTCAGAATTTTGATTTTTGAAAATCTGATGGCAGGTTTTCTGATTTTTTTTTTTTTTTT